GCTTAAAGACGTTATCATTTCTCAGGGCGGTGTTTGTGCGCCACAACACTCTTCGTCTCGTGTCTTGTGTTCTAATAATCCTGACTTTTATTTAGTACCTCATATCGCACCCGAGCTCTTACGCAAGCCTAGCAAGAGCAGAAAATCCGATGCATCTCGAGAGATTTGAAGGTAACTGCCGACTTGCAATGATTAACTCTGATCCTGAGGTCAGTCTATAGTCTTTATGCCGAGAATTGTACACTATACTAATCTCCTTTCTTGATTTTGGACTTTTACAACCTATTAAGGCTTGTAAGCCGCCGGTCAACTCATTGTATCTCACCCTATTGCTACTTGGTTGTATTATAGTGTACTGATATATTACAAGTACCTTATATACATCTTACTTTGAAAACTTGACTGAAGACGATGCATCTTGTCTGATAGAAGCGTTTCTGATGGTTGATAGTTCGGATTCTACCTTTTGATTTGGATAGACTCAATGTGCTTGCCAAGAATCAAGAATATTAAAGTTCTTACTTATCATCACCATGTGCACCTTTACTTATTTTACTTATATACTTATTTACTCGTTTACTCATTTAGTTACTTACTCACTCATGATACCAATTCACCTCCTTTCGTTGTCTCCCCGTATTAGGTCTATCCTGGAGTATCGTCCAGATACATCCATAGCTGTCATCTGCACGGCGCGTAGGTAGCTATCACCCATCGTAATATAGTAATCAAGAGTCTTCAGACTTTCGGCAAAGCCCGGGTCAGGTGTCCAGTGCCTAATATGGAACACGTCGGATTTGCACTCGGCGAACCAGTTGGACCAAGTACCTGTCCCATTAGAAAAAACCTCGTTACTATACTGTGACCCGTTATGCAGAGTGAGCCACGCTCTGATACTGCCAGTCATTTCCATAGCGGGGACCGAACCGCTACACCAGCCTTGTTGTAACCGGGTTCGTACCGGCTGATTGAGGTTTATAAAATTAAGAATTTGCTGTACTTGATCTGCATTATGTAGCTAAGCGTTAATGATGCATGCATTTCCCCAAGATGTTGTATTGAAATATACAGAACTTTAAAGAGCACGAATTGATTTCATATTATGCCACGTGCGGATAAACACGACCGCTAAACGTTTCAAGCGACCGACACGCAGAAGCCTGCTTTGACTCGCACCTTCATCAAGAACCCCTCGGAATGGCGGTCCTATCCCTGCCATTGAGCTTTACAAACTCTTTTTGGTCTCAAGATTATCGCAGAGGCCTGCAGGTACTCTTCAATAAATTAGACCAAGTATGTCCGGTTGTGCCCAGGGTATCGCCTCCGTTTAACGGCTACTTCTAGGGTGTCGCTGAAAATGCCGAAATTGTTGCGTTTATAAGGGTATGCATTTCTCTGACTACCATCTGCCCGCCGATGTTCAGGATTTCGCTAGGCCCGCGCAGTGGCGGAGGGTCATCTTGCTTCTGCACTCATAAATCCTGCATTAACTGGACCTGCTGGTAAGAACAACCCCACTGTGTTAGCATCTTCTTCTTATCGCATCTGCGTCCAAAAGGAACGGGCTTTGGTGCAGACGATGGTGCATCTCTCTTAACGGCCTTCCGCGGGCTTCAGGCAGAGTCCACTGTCCAGGGCCAAGCTCACAGGAACATCGCAAAGGAACTTGACACACTAGTGGCCGAGCCTTTTGAGCAATGGTCCATGAACTATGCGGTTAGTGTCCCCCAGAGCGTTCATGTTTTTCTATCTCACAGCGTCTTGTAGGAGCGTATCAAGTCTAACAAGGCCACAGTGCTTGATAACTGGCTTAAATCTTACGAACAGGCTCATGCGGAAGTCGGCTTCTCCGGCGGAAGACGATGACCAACCTCCTTCCAAGGTTGACAAAGGCAAAGGCAAGGCTGTGGATCTAGACCTTCCGCAAACGCCACCGATTACAGCCTCACCATCACCAATGTCACCTTTGAACCCACCTGCCTCACTACCATCTACACAGATCCTCCTAGCAGGACTTGCTCTTTCTCCAGCTAACGTGTCACAACTTTTGATACGAGCTGCTGCAGAGTTGCCATTGCGGCCTGTGCGTTTCCCTCTCCTTGGCGAGTATCAAGATTGCTTCAATGGGGAAGAATTTGTTTCTTGGCTTAACGTCAACGTTCCCGGCTTCGGTGGAAACTTGGATGTCGCAGAGGATGCTGCACGCGATCTGACGGAACGTGAGGGACTGTTACGTCGGATCGGGGAGTTTGGCAATCAGTTTGAGCATTCAGATGATGCATTTTATCAGTTCCGCCCGAAGGTCTGAGAACGTCTTCCATATTCCCTTTTACTCAGTGTATTGACGGTAGTATCATTCTTCCAGGCATTCAGTTTGGATAGCAAGGAAACTTCCGAGCAGGATGGAGGCGCCCTCGGCGTTAGTGCCAAGCAAGCCGAAGCTGTCATTAAGAGGACTGGAGGGAACTTCGTCAACCTCGTTAGCAAGGTCTTGAGAAACACAAACAATGGGGAGCCTGCATACATGAAAGCCAGGCACGAGGCTGACATTGCTGACAACACTTACCGCAAAGCAGTGCGGAAGCTCGACCGGCACCGACTAACCCTTGAGGAACGCCTTGAGGAGGCGCTTAAACTACTTCAACGCTTAGAAATGGAACGTTTGCGTGCCGTCAAGACTGGTAAGTGTTTAACCTTCGATCATTGATTTTCAATCTACTTACATCAATGATATGAATAGTTCTCTTGCAATATCAAGGCACTCTTTCCAACCTCCCCAAGTCCTTGGAACCGTCTCTTGACCGCCAGGCAACGCTAGTAGCATCATATCAACCCGAAAATGACTTGACTGCCCTCATTGAACGATACCGCACTGGGCCGTTCCGTCCGGACCCACAGGTTTATGAGAGTGTCGCACATGACGAGTCTGATGTCGTTTTTGGCATTGATCTCAGACGCTGGGCGGAAGGGGGATGGTATGCCCTCACGACGGGAGAGGAAAAGAAAGAGCTCGTACCTCCCGTGCTCACGGCACTGTTTGAAGGTTTGCAAGAAGCGTATAAGAGGCTTCCTGGTGACAATGGTGAGTCGTTCATTCTTTACATGTCCGACACCATTCATTCAATATCCCCATCGATTTACCCAGAACGCCGCAAGTCGTGGATATACGAGGTTCCTCTTCCTGCGGTGCACCATCTCCGTGAGGCACTCAACGCCTCGTCCGGCGGACAACCTATTCCAGCAGAGTTATTCGCCAAGTATGATGCACCTGTCATTGCCAGTACCATCAAGCTGTGGATCTTGGAGCTGAACCCTCCGTTAGCACTTTATGAAGGCTGGGATGAGCTGCGTAAATTGTACCCCTGTGTTGGGTCATCAGCGGCCAAAGAGGCGGAAAAGTCACGCGAGGATCATGTACAAAGCTTGAGTAGTGCATTGCAGAGGCTTCCGAGAGTGCATTTGTACGTCTTGGATCTTGTGGTGAAGCATTTGAAGACGTTCGTCGTTTTTGTTTGATCGGTCTAAAAGCTTCACTGATCTGGCGTTCGTAGATTGATCGAGAGCACAACCGTTGAGGAGGATAATGAGATTTTCATCACCAAGCTAGCACTGTCTTTAGGCCGGGGTTAGTTGTTAACCATGTAACATCCCATCATTTTTGCTGACTATCTGTAGCTGTGGTTCGGCCGAAAGTCGAGACAGAAATCTCTATCCAAGACCGTCATCCGACTCGTAAGTTCCTTTCGCTTGGTTTCTGAATATATGCTCATCCCGAAATAAGTCCTGTTCATCGACCTCATTCAACATTATGAGGCCATTCTTCCTCCCACAATTAGCCGCAAGAAAAAGGAATCAGAACGCAGGGGACTGACACGGAAGCGCACAGCGCCTGTTGACATGCGCCTCAGTCGAAGCCGCATCTCTGCCGGTGCTGACGCACAGCAGCTATTGGCCGCCCAGCAAATCGCGCAGAATCCTTCACTTATGAGGTCTCCTAAGACGCCGGAAAAGACGCCATCTCCGCCAACTCGTATAGTGTCACCACCGTCGCCGCTACCTGTCGCACCTATACCAGTTGCTGCAGCACTAAGTGTTCCACCCCCTACGCTGTTGTCATTTGTCCCGCCGCCGCCGCCACCACCACCACCTGTACCTGAGCCTTCTGCACCTGCCCTTGAACTTCCGCCCTCAGCTTCGCCGGTCCAAGCTCCCGCGGTTCCGCCTCCTCCGCCTGCCGTGACGCCTCCAGCTGACAGACCCACATTCAAAGAACCCCCGCCCGAGTTTAACGACCAGCCTTCGCGTCCCGTTTTCAAGGAACCCCCGCCTGAATTCGACCTACAGTCTCCACCCTCAACTCGTCCGACTTTTGTTGACCCGCCTCCATCACCCCCCCCAGTCGCCGTACCCGCGGCTGCGCCTTCCACCACGGTGATTCCGCCCACACCACACAGGCGTGCAGGTGCTGTGAGTCCTCCTACGCCAAGAAGTCCTTCCACGGCGACGTTGGTCTCGAGAAGCCCGTCACCCCCGGAGGATGTCGTCCTCAACGCGGGTCGAACAAGTCTGACGCGTGCAAGCTCTGGGCAGAGTGGCGCAGCACAGGGCGGCATCACGACGCGCTCGCCAAGAGTCATTCGGGGACCAAGGACAGGAAACGTGGCTAATTTGGCGTCGAATTTCAATAACAGGAAGACCAGTCCCCCGGCGCCCTCGTCGCCGAACCGGGCGGTGAACCGGCTCAGCGGGAGCCCGGGGAGAAGGTCATCGAGCGGGTTGAAGAACAGCGCTGCGTCTTCTCCGTCGTTTTCGAGAAGGACGATGGCAAGTGATGCGGAGGACGATGTTACGGAAAGGAAGTAAGGGATGGGGAATTTATAATCTATGGACTGTCTGATCTTGTTTACTGAACATTGGATATGTAGTACAGATCTATTACTATGTTATGTGTTATGCTTGGAACGTCGAGTGTTGAAGAAATCACTTGATTCCATTACAAGTCCCTCTTAGCTCAGTTGGTAGAGCGCGTCACTAGTACCTACTAGAGTATGACGAGGTCAGTCGTTCAAGTCGGCTAGAGGGAATTTTTATGCTTCTTGAAGCGGGGCTGGCCGGGGAAAGCCGAGATCAAAAAATATTGGGAGGGGCGGCGTGGTTTGGCGAACATCGACCATGGCGGCGCAGAAACGGCTGGTGTCGACGGCAGCCAAGCTCGCGTCGGTGTCGACGGCGCATCTCCCCCGCTTTCCTCCCCGAGAAGCCATCTTCAAGCAGACAGAAATCCCAAAACCTCCCTTTGCCCCAGAAGTCTGGGCATCGACCCGTCCCCCGCCTCCGTCTGCCCTCTCCGCTTTTGCACACAGAATAGGCCTCGCGTCTGTCCTTTCCACGCCAGAGTCCGTTCTGCGCGTCTGCACCCACTCGTCCTTTCCCCATCTCCAGCAACAATTCGCCCCTCACGAGAGGATACAAACAAATGCTCACCTCACTCCCCTGGGCAACGCCCTTCTCGGCCTCTTTGCCTCAGAGTTCATCCAAGCCGCATACCCGCATCTCCCCACACGTGTCCTCAAAGCCGCTGTCAGTGCACACGTCGGGACACAGACCTGTGCTGCCGTCGCACAGGAAATGGGCGCAGCTCCTCTTCTACGCTGGCACCGTACAGTAGGTGTCGTTCTGTGTTCTGCTCGCAACCTTGCTGATACCTTCGCAGGACGATGTGAACCACTCGGACGCCCTCGCATCCGTCCCACGCGCAATCACAGCCCTCATTTACGAGAAACTCTCCCTCCTCTCCGCGCGCCAGTTCGTCCATTCATATTTTCTATCGCGCGAAATCGACCTCCGTGGCATGATCAAGTTCCGCCAACCTAAAAAAGCCCTACTAGAAATGGTCAAGAAGCTTGACCGCGAATATCCAAAATCTCGGTACGTCATTTTTTTTCTTTGTGTGTTTTTCGTGTCCCAACGTTACTATAATAGACTACTCAAAGAGACTGGTCGATTTTCTAATTCCCCCGTGTTCGTTGTCGGCATCTTCTCTGGCGCTGATAAGCTTGGCGAGGGCTTCGGGTCGTCCCTCAGGATGGCAGAATACCGTGCTGCAGAGGATGCGCTCCACCGTGTATATCTCACCCGTGTGCCGAACCATTTGATGAGCCTCCCGACGTCGACGTTCCCTGCGGGTCTTGGTAGTGTGTTCGATGTCAAGGGCGAGGAGCAACTCTATACACCACCAGATCTGGGTATGGCGGAGGTTGAGTACGGAAGGTCCGGCAGGAGCAGTGCAGGATATACAAATTGATGGTATTATATGGTCTATTAATGCCAGTACTAGTACACTATCTTAATGGGCGTTCGACCGAGTCACCTGGCAGCATCGAAGTGATCCCTGGTGAGGCGACAACAGTGGCAGAATCAAAGAGTATTTAGGATGGTGCGGGGTCAAGGAATTGTCCATTGGTGGAGTATGCATCCATTTCCCCGTGGTATACGAACTCGTAGGGTATATGTTATTTCTCGGGCTTCATTGTTCAAGTCCCAACCGCCGTCTCTCGCTTTTTTCCTTTTCAAATCGACCGAGTCTGTCTTCGACGTCGGCAATGGCGTCGTCCCAGGCTACGAACAACTCGGACAGCGTATCGACCTGGTCGCTCAGATGTCAATATCACTTGCAGCACATCGCCAACGTACAGTACACACCTGAGTCGCGTGCCGCTCCACCAGACGAGCTATTCTCTCCTCTAACGAATTCGCCAGCTCTGCGTCTTCCTGGTATTGTGCCAGTAGTCTGTCAAGGCGCGGCTGGAGGTCTTCGTATGCTAGGAACCAATGGTAAAGTTTTGGCAAAGAATGAGAGATAGATAGATTAAACGTAACGTACACGCAAGCTTGCCTGCCCCCGTTACGCCCTTACTCTCCAACATCTCAATCTCGCGCATGTCGCGTTCCGCGGCACGGATATCGGGCTCCATCTCGGTGAGGAGCGCCTCGAGCTGCGCGACGGACATCGTGTTCCCCTCGGAGGCGGGGTCGGACAGCGCGAACGCCGGACTAAGAAAGTGTGCATACTGGTCGTCTGTGAGAGCGGAGTGAGCATGGGACCACCAGGTCACAAACGAACGAACGAACGACGCACATTGTGCGAGAAAACGCCTGAGCCCGTCGTGCGAGGCTACGATGGCGTCGAGGCGCTGCTGAAGGTCTCCGGCGGCGCGACAGAGAGAGGGTGTGTGGCTTGGTGCTTCCTCAGTGGATTTGCGTCCTGTCTTGGACGTGCTTCCGCCGCCGCCGACGCCGACGCCGACCAGGAGCGCCTCGAGCCAGCGCAGGCGCAGGTCGAGTGCCAAGCGTGAGTCGATTGGGGTCGTGCGCCGGTCCGACTGGGCCTGGAATGAGGGAGGCGACTGCGAGAGGCCGCGGGGGAACACCGCGGAGATGGCGGAGGGCGGAGGGGAGGGTGACGGGGTGGACGATGACGGAGAGGTGTTGGAGAGCATTCGGTGGCGCACGTTGTCTCCTAAGAAGACGCTTCCTATATTGGCCATTGTGGTAGTCGAAGCCGATGTCCTTCCGACGCCACACTTGGATCTGATCACGAACCTTGTCTGACATCAGAGCGTACATTAGTGATCTAACTAACATATGATATACACGACAATAAATACAACAGAATAAATATCCAACTAGATCCTCATACACGAGCAGCAGCACTGATATTTCCCGTGCTCATCTCTACAGGTAACTGGCTATACCCATCGTGTCTCCCTCCACTCACCAAACCTCGTATACTATCCAAAACCGGGCCCGCACTGTCCATGAACATCCCTGTCCAGCCTGTGCCACTGTCAGCGATGTCCCCAGGCATCATGCTGCTCTCGGGTCGGCGCCACCACTTGAGTGTCAGAGAACTTGTCACAACGCTGACACTCGAGAAGGCCATCGCCGCGCCCGAGAGCATTGGATGCATGTACAATCCAAATGGCAGAAAGAGACCCATAGCAAGTGGTATGCCGACTACATTGTAGATGCAAGCCCAGATAAGGTTGCGCTTGATGACTGAGAAAATCTTGCGTGAGAGATGAAGGGCCGCAACAACGTCCAACAGATCGGAGCACATCTGAAGGCACACCGCAATTTTACTGGCACCGTGCTTCAAGAACATCTTGGGCAAGCTCTCTTCATGTACAACACTAGCGACAATAGCCCACCCGATGAATGTGGTCACCGCGAGTGCGACGACTGTGGGAACGAAATAGCCAGCGACTCGGTCCGCAAATGCCTGGATCGGCGCCTTTGATGTCTGGGCCTCCTCGACGAGCCGGACAATCTGTGAAAGTGCGGTATCTTTCCCTGCTCGGGTCACAAGCATGTCGAACGTCCCAAGACAATTGACTGTTCCACCAATGACAGTGTCTCCGACTTGTTTAAAGACTGGCACTGCTTCGCCAGTGATAGCACTCTCGTCAAGGCTGGAAGAACCTCGAATCACGGTGCCGTCGGCGGGTACCTTGTCTCCAGGTACAAGTTTGACCGTGTCCCCCACTTGGACGAGCTCGGTGGCAATCTTCTTTTCCTGGGTGCAAGCAGGGGCATCTGTGTAGATTGTCGCCATGGATGGAGCAAGGGACATAAGATCCGTAAGCGCGGCACTAGTTTTACCCTTCGCCTTGTTCTCAAGGTACCTCCCAAGCGAAACGAACATTATGAGCATGGTGCTCGTCTCGAAAAAGAGGAATGGGCGATAGTCGGGAGAGTAGTTGAACATGGCAGATAGCATGATGCAAAGGGAATAGAAGTATGCTGCCGAAGTTCCTAACATGACAAGAACGTCCATGGTTGCACTCCCGTGCGTAAGAGACTTGTAAGCACTGCGGTAGAATTTTGAGCCAACCCAAAATTGCGCAGGCGTAGTTATGAGTAGTTGAAGGACGTCCCCGAGATAGATGGCATTAAAAATACGGAAAGATATAAGTGATTTGATGTATGGGATGCGTGGTCCTACCATGGAAATGAAGAAGACTGGCAGGGCAAAAGTAATGCTCCAGAGGAACCGTCTTCGCCATTCCAACACTTCTTTCGCACGGGTAAGGGATTGTAGTTGAGTGGCATCTTGTTGATCAGAGAGCATGGCATCAAATCCCATTTCTTCTATTCGCTCAACCATTTCACGAGGGCCAATGAGAGTACGGTCAAAGCCAATTGTACAGGTTTCTGTGGCAAGGGAGACGGCAACGGAAGTGATGCCTGGGACAGAGGAGAGACCAGATTCTACGGTATTTGTACAAGACGAGCATGTCATGCCATATATTCGTAAAGTGACAGTGTCGGCGCGGACTGGAGGGATGACAGACGCATCGAACCCAATGTCAGAGATCTCCTGTAATACAAAGTCTGAAATCAGTGAAAGACAGGATGGGAAAACAGACATACGTTGATCAGTTTGTCCACTGTCCAATGAGCAGGATCGTATTCGATTTGTCCACGTTCGGCCAAGAGGGCAACTTTGACGCTATGTATGCCTTTTTGACCCCGTAGCATTCCCTCGATGGCCTGCAGGTCATTCAAATCAGTGCTTATGCTGCAAACAGATGCGATGACATACCTCAACGCAGGACCCACATGTCATACCTTCAATCCGAAGTTCACACTTCTCGGACAAAGGCTCATCGAGGGGGCCCTCTTTCGATGATAAGAGAGGATCCATAAGTGTAGGTCTTGAAGGGCCCTCCAGCTTTGAATGGATTGATACGGCGGCGGAACCAGGCCATAGATTATTGAGGAGCCCTGACATGGGTGCGATGGTCGTGCGAAGGACGTTATTTGCGAAAGACTTAAATGGATGGAAAGAGAAATGACGGTAAACCTCCGGCCAATCCCTCGAGAAGGCTGACTCAGATGGTGCTGAAAATCACAAGCGGTCCACGACCTGTGAGAGCAAATTGAAAAGCAAGCTACTAATTTACGATCGCCAACCGTAAACGTCAGCCAAAGTTTACGTAACTGCAATGAAAAACAATTAAATATCGCGAAAAATAAATTTCACTGCCCACTTGATGGATGTTTCGGGGAATTCCGAATTTAG